AACCATAAAAACTGATAAACAACAAATTAAATCAGTTTAGTTAAATCTGCTAAGAAATAATTCTGAAAGTAGCGACCATTTGTGTATCGATCGATAGTTGGAGTCATAGAAGCAATTTCGAATTATTCATAAAGTTTTTACTCTATTATTCTACCTAATAAAACTAAAATGAAAACTCTTATATGAACGTCCCAAAAATTTAAACAATGTTGACAATCAATTGAAGCAATGGTGCACATCACTATTAACATTGACACCGATTATTATGGAAAATATTGTTCCCACAACTATATTTGAGTAGTGATTTTTAACTATATCTCAGAATGGTGAAACAACTGTTCAACATTGTAAACGGAGTAACCGAGCTGTTGACTTTACGTCAAAATTGTCAACCATTTTATCTTTTTTGGCACCGTAGGAGCCGACAACAATGATGTTAGCCTGGAGAATAGATGCAGACTAGCTGTCGCCAATAGGTGCTACTAGGCGCAGTAGAGAATTGAGATGTAGAGATCTGTCGTAAACCAAAGAACGTAGACTCCATAGTTCGCTCATACTACCAGTGCTTCAGTATAATGCAGAAGCATGAATGTGTCTGTGACAGCTTGGGTGACAGGGTCAAGCCTTTGTATATAATACATGATCCGTCTTATATATATGGTAAGTAAATTTTAAATAAGGAATTACATTTTAGATTACGTTCACGATTTTCAGTAGTCGACTTTTTCTTTTAAGGTGAAGCTTAATGTACTTCAACGTATAAAAAATAAAATCAAATTAAAAAAATCACCGGAATGTGATGATATTATGGGAAAGATTCTGACTGAAGTGTCTCAACAAGCACTTGTATGCCTTAGAAACGTGTTTTATTGCGCTCTTCACCTTAAGTTTTTTCCAAAAGTATAGAAAGTATTAGAAGTTATAACTATTCCCAAACCAAATAAAGACATAACTCTTATAAACTCATATAGATAAATTATCAAGACTAGAAACGATTCTCCACAAAGAAAAACTTATTCCTAAGTTGTAAATAAAATAACAAGCAATATTGACTCAAAACAATTTTTCTCGGCATTATATCTAGACGGTGCAAAGATCTTCAACAGAGTTTGGCATCAGGGTCTTCTAACCAAATTATCCTAGCTACTTCTAACAAACGTTTACCTTATACTAAAAACCTCTCTACAAAATAGATACCTTTATGTGAAGAATATATACTTAATCTCCGAACTTAAACAAATGAAACTTGGTGTGGCCCAAAGTAGCGTACTAGGTTCATTACTCTAGTTGATATACACGACCGATAACCCGATAACTTCTGATCCTCAAAGTTTGATAGAAACTTCTAATTGCAGTTAATAAAAACTTTAACAAATCCAGAGACAACTTGTTGAATTACTTAAACGTAACACTGGAATGGTTAACAAATAGGAATACAATATATGACCTAAAACGTATAAAAATTAATAATGATGAAGTCTTTACATACACAAAGGCAAATTACGTGGGTATTACTATAGATAGCAGATAAACTTAGAAGGTCCATGTCAAAGCTAAAAGAAATGAAATTAAGCGTTGCTTTGGACAATTGTAATGACTATTCTGCTCAAAATCAAATCTAACGTTCCAATGTGGAAATATAAGGTACATCATTCAAATGAAATAGAAGGCACATCATGCAAATACAACATATAACTACTGCAAACACTACAATCAAAAATACTTAGATCTATCATTTACGCTGACTGGTACATATCAAACTATAACAGTCATCGTGACTTAAAGATACCCTACGTCGCAGACGCTATTCGAAAAATAGTAAATCTCATACAGATAGATTACTCTCCCATCCTATCCCAGCAATCTACCTATCCCAGCTACCAAATGACGAAGCCACATATAATAGAGGATTGAAACGCTTATTTCCATCAGAACTGTCAATATAATAATCCATAACTAGCTATCTAATGTGCGCTTAGTACAATCTGAATATTCGAGTATTTATTGACTCATCTACTTCTACTAAATTTTTATTATTTATTGTTAGTAGTCCATACATGTAATTCTAATATTATATATTAGATGCCAAATCTTGGCAGTTGTATAAATAAAGGGAAGCTAAAACAAAAAAAAAAAATATCTCCTAATTTTGTTAGTGTTGTTGAAAGGGCTTTGATTCGTTTACTAAAGGTAAAATAATATTAGAGACCATGGGTTATATTAGGTAACCCAAAATATTTTGTGACTGCGTGATATTTACATTGTGACCGAAAAGTTTCCGGTCATAAATAAATAAAACGCAAAATTCTTAATCTTCATCAATATTTATTTTTTATCTCCTTCAAAATATGGCTCCATTAGAGAACGATACCAAAATGCCAACGTTTCTTCCAATCATCAAAACATTTTTTATAGGCGCTTTCCGGTATGGCTTTGAGTTCCCTCTGCGAATTCTGTTTTACGTCTTCTATGGATTCAAAACGCGTTCCTCTGAGTGGTAATTTGAGGTTGGGAAACAGGAAAAAGTCACACGGTGCAAGATCAGGTGAATACGGTGGCTGTTCGATGGTATTTATTGAATGTTTGGCCTTAAAATCGTTGATAATGTTGAACAAATTGAGGTGAATCGGAACAAGCCGGGCGTTGACACGTCGCATACACAAATTGTCCACCAAAATCAAACGAGCCATCTCACGACCGATGCCTAGCTCTCGTGCTATCTCTCTAACACTCACATGAGGATTTTTGAACACGATTTCCTTTGCCTTTTCAATGTTTTCGTCGGTGGTAGAGGTCGAAGGTCGTCCAGAACGCGGCATGTCTTCGACGGTCGTACGACAGTCCTGAAAGGCTTTGTACCACTCATAAACTTGAGTTTTCGATAAAACTGATTCCCCATAAGCCTTTTGTAGCATTCGCAACGATTCTGCACACGAAATTTCGTTCGAAAAACAAAATTTGATGCAAACTCTTTGTTCAATATTTTTTTCCATTGTTTTTTTCGCAACGCACTACTGAGGTGAACTGGTTTCAACAGCTGCCGAAAACGAACTGTCTGACAGATCGCGCTCATTTTTGGCATAGTAATTAAGGACAGTGCTGCCAAACTACATAAACTTAAAATATCGAAAAATATACAGCGCGCGAATTTTAAATGAGAACCTCCGAAAACCTTTCGGTCACAATGTATATATGGTGATGATAAGACAAGATATTCAAATCTGTAATAATTTTGTTTTGGAAACTTTACTTGAAATATGAAACAAATATATGTTAACTATTAGAGATTTGCGATCTTTATATGATCATAGCATCTTTGATTAACTTAGTTCTTCAGAATTTTATTATAATGAGTGCTCATTGAGTACTGATTGAAATTCTCTTAATAAATATCAATGCTCCAATTTTCGGTACTTTTACATACATACGTACGAGCTTAAGAGTAATTGAAGAGTTCTTACGTGTAAGACAAGTCGAAGTCAAGTACAAGCCAAATAAGAAGTAGAGGATCTAGCAAATCGCAGAAAGAAAGAATTGTGAATGTCATTAAACTTGTCGTGAAGCGCAGACGAACGGCAAGAATATGAGATTCACTATTCGTCTTCGTTTTCCATTTTTAATCCGTAATTGTTCAAATACAAAATTCACAACAAAGAAAATTATATAGAAAAACATAAACAATCAATGGAGCGAAGTGTTAAGTAAGAATCGGTACGGTCTGTCGCCGCAGATCAATGACGTTCTTCTATTTCATCTTTTTCCGTACATAAAAGCCCGTTCAGTCCTCAACGACCTCAGAACGCTAGTAAGAACTGTCAACTTCAGTGATTGCGGAGCCCAGTAAACGTCGTTAACGTTTATCGTGAGTGCGTAAAAATGATTATTTTTTTTATTGTGATGATCACAATTGTTGTTGTTCGAAAAATGTTCCATTAGAGTTTATGATTTATTGATTGAATATGTGAAGTCTGAAGGAAGGACAATTTTTTTCCATTACACACGTTTTTATTTTTATTTTTATTTTTAATTTTTTTTTTAATTTATTTAAAAAAATTGAATAAAGATATGTTTAAATAAATATAACTTCACACTTGCCACTTCATTTCTTTATTCTTTAAAAATGGAAACGCAAAATAAACACAAAACTGTTCTCGCCTCCAACCAAACTGAGAACACAAACTGTGGACTGCAGTCCATTTGCTGTGAACAGTAAAAAGTGACCAGTAAAGTTTTATGTCAATAAAGAAAGCATTTAATACGCGAAAAAAATAAATATTTGCTTGTTAGATTTATTTTTATTTGATTGATAGAATAGCGGAGGTGTATTATTCATTTTTAAAATTCATAATTAATTGGAAGCAATTTTTTCACTGCGAATACTTTTGAATACTTTTTCGCTTTGCTAGAGGTTCATGCGTATGTAAATTAAACTCCAACACAGTTTTGAAAGCATTGAGAATGCCGTACGAGGGGACACACTGCAGAGTTAGAGTTATCAATCAGTGGTTTTAATATTTAATTTACAAATAAAAGTAGTTATTGTATAATATTAATAATATTACTTAAAACATTTCTAAGATATAATTACAATTACAATTAAAAGCAATATTAATTGGAGCTTACTCAGACAACGTTTACCCACGCTAATTCGTTCACAATGTATTTAGTTAGATTGAATTAGTTAGATTAAATGAGTATTTCATTTGCTTAATAATATAAATTTCAATATTTTGTTGTTATTTCTCAGCTAATCAATTACTGGTAGAATCATTCGCTTTTAATTCAGAATGTATACGGTATAATTTTAATGCGTGTTTGGCGCTTGAAGTTCCAATAATTCCGAATCAGGGAGAGGAAGTTGCGCTTCTATTAAGATAAGGTGCCTTCTGAACGATCAATACACTAGTGACCAAATCATAAGAATCGGTCTTTTGCTAGAATTTATTATTCAAATGATATGAATATAAGTAGTTTACAATGCATTAATAAAAACCAAAGCATTTAGGTGTCGAGAAACATATAATTCTGTTCAAAAAAATACAAAGAAATTTTCACAAGTTTTCCAAAAGTTCACATGATAAATATAAAAATCATTCATCTAATTAACACAAACTAGTTTATATATGGTCGAAACATTTTGGAGCTGTTAAAACTAGTGGCAGATTTGTCCACAGCATCTGTCCTATCATCGAAAACAGATTCCATCATATACTTCTCAACTATGCTATGTATAATATTTTTGATGTTATCTGTCAGAACAGTGTTTCCTCTGAAACCCGGTTCATTCTGAGACAGTACAAAAGTTTCAAGTACTTCCATTATGTTGTTCTCAAGAAGCTCTTCATTCAATTCGCATTTTCCTTCGTCGTTAGATTTACTCTTCAACTCACTTTTTCTAATCATCCCCAACTCTCTTGCAATTGCGTGCACTTGAAGTCTTGTATCCTCGACCAGGATTTTCGTTATAGAATGCGTCTCACCAAAAACTGACCCACATTTGGATGGATCAGCGTCAAGACCAACACAACTGATCAGCTTTTTTTCTGAAACAAATAATGTCATAAAATCTGTTTTTTATAATGTCGGCATCTAATAGATTTCAGGTCAACTTACCTTCTGACATTAATTTCTTCCTTTTTGGTGCAATTCCTGAATCATTCGATGGTTTACGTCTCTTTCGTTTGCCTATAGTCGCATTCTCGTTATCTGTGATTAAATGAATCTCGTTATAAAGTTTATAAAATTATTGGATTGGTTTTCTAAAAAAACTTACCTTTGTCTACTGAACAATTCTTTTTTTTATTATCTACAACCGATTTTGTTTCTATGGAAATCTTAGAACCTGCCCAGACATTATTGAAATCAATTTATTATTATAATGACATTGATATAAAAAGATGAAATAAAATATAAATAAAAATAAATCGAGTATTTAAATTCATTTTT